TGGGGGCCCACGAAGGCGGGGAGGGGGGCGCGACCCCCAGAGGGGAGCGCAGGCAGGAGCTGCCAGCCCTTGCTGCCTGCACGGAGCGCTCTGGGGCACGGGGTGCCGGCAGCTCTCACCTCTCCACTCGCCTCCGCTTCGGTACAGATGCTTTGGAGACCGAGGAAGGCTTGGGGATGGAGGAACCCCTCATGGCAAACACGGGGACGCGGGCTCTGCAGCCAAGGAAAAGAGGGTTAGTGCCAGGGTCAGATCCTGACTGCCCGCTCTCACGAGGCTGGGAGGAAACCAGGACAACGCCATCCACCTGAATGGAATAGAAATCACAAGAAACCTGCCCCGTTTTGTAGGGGAAAATGATTCAAACGGGGATAGATCCTCAGGAGATCCGCGCAGGAGGTGGCAGCTGGCGGGGTACTGCTGCTCCCTAAGGTGGTCGGGCCATTCCCCTGTACCTCAGTTTCCCCAGTTACCTGGGGAACTATTTCCTAGAGGTATAGGAGGAGATAGGGAGACCTAAGGGTGTCCTGCATTACCAGGGGCATGCCGATCTCTGGTTTTGGACAGTCACACAAATTCCTGCAGCTCTGTAAAAGCCAGAGCCTCTTTGAAGCACCAGCAATAATAAAAAACAGAAAACAAAAACAAAATGAAAGAGCCCACACTGCGCAGTCCTGACCCTCGCTCCAACCTCTTATAGGAGGAGATAGGGAGACCTAAGGGTGTCCTGCATTACCAGGGGCATGCCGATCTCTGGTTTTGGACAGTCACACAAATTCCTGCAGCTCTGTAAAAGCCAGAGCCTCTTTGAAGCACCAGCAATAATAAAAAACAGAAAACAAAAACAAAATGAAAGAGCCCACACTGCGCAGTCCTGACCCTCGCTCCAACCTCTCTGGGAGGAACGGCTTTCCCCCCGCTTCCCAACCAGCACTTGAGGCTCCAGAAGCCATCTGGGGGATGCTCCTCCATGTTCAAAGGGAAAAGGAGAAGGAGAAATAGATTTTCTTGGAATGCTTTTTATATCTTTGCAAGCAATTTGCACATGAGCTCGGCCCGCTGGCTGCCCGTCCGCAGGCTGAGCGTCTTCTGCCCAGCCTCCCCTCTTAGCAGGGCTGCAGTGATCCGCAAAGGATTCACCCAGACAGCAAGACCATGGAGGAGGGATCCCCAAAAACACGGGTAACCCAGCCAGGGCAGCACTTACTTGGGCACGAAGGGGCTGTCCTGCTCGTTTAGGCGGCTCTGGACATTCTCCCAGACGGGGAATTCAGGCAGGCTGAAGGCAGCTGGATTGGCTGCGCCGGGTGAACCGCTGTCCTCGCAGATCTCGAAAGTCACATTCAGGTCGCGGACGGGCAGGGCAGGCAGGGTGTAGCAGTTTTGGGCAGCTGACATCGCCAGGGGCGTGCGGCTTTTGGTGACCGTCAGCGGGCAGATTTTGGGGGTGCAACACGATGGCACCAGGGAGACAGAGGGTGCCTGGGCTGCTCCTTTGAGACAGGGGTTGCCTACGCTCTCCATCGCCCTGGGAGTCTCTGCTTCTTTCCCACCTCTCCGCTGGCGTTTCATCCGCATTTTGAGGCTGCGGGGAGTTCCCGATTGGGAAGCGCTGTTCATCTCAGACCTCCTCCTCTTCCTAATCGGGCTGGGAGCCACCGGCATGGGACTAGAGAGCGGAGCGAGCTGCTGCGAGCATTGCGGGGCAGCGCTCGTCACAGGGGCACTGGGCACAGCAACAGACGCCTCTGCTAAAGGAGCAGAGAAGAAACAGAGTCACCTCCCTGTCTGCAGTTCCCAGGCACCCCCAAACCCTGGGGCACCCCCCTCTGCTCCCCGTCACAGCTCAGCGGAGATCTGCCCAGCGAGCCCTACAGCAGCCGTTTGCCAGCGGGTGTTTCCATCAAACTGCGTTAAACCCAGAGGAAAAGACCCAGCACAAATAATCCTGTGCCTTGCCAGCCTAAAGGCACCAGACTGGTCTTAAAGCAAGTGCCCTGTGGCAATGCCCGGTCTGTCCCCGGAAAACAGGGTCTGCAGAGCCCACAGCTTCGCTATTGGGTTTGTGCGTTGGTACTGAGGATGAGGAGGAAGAGCTCAGCCCTGGTCAGATGCAGGCTGCCAGCTGGGAGGCTACAGCCAGGCTGACTTGAGCAAATGTACCGTGGAGGAGTAAACAAGACAAGAAAAAATTAGGATCAGAACTGCTGCTTTGGTCTCCTGGAGCAGAAATATCACTCATGTTTAAGCTGACGTGCACACACATGCTGAGCTTCCCGGAGACAAGGGCTGCTCACGGCTCCTGCCGTGCCCC